TGAGGGAGTTGCTTCAGTGACCTGCAACACCTGTGCCATGTTTGTTTTCTTGCTGGAGAATGTGCACTTGCAGCAGTGTACAGAGCAGCATTCAGGACATCCTAATATAAACTTCTAGCTATGCCACTCTGTGCTATGGCAATGTGAAGTATGAAAAACTAAACATTAAACAATTTAAAGTGTGTATACGTTGGGGGGAAACACATTGCCTTGGGCACCAGTTGCATTGGCATAGGTACTACCACACAAACTGTCCAAACCATTTGGAAATCTGGACCAAAGTCTCGGTAGCCACATGGTGTACCAGCCACATGGGTGCAATTTTCAGTAGTAACAATCGTGAGACCTTTTTCATTAAAATAGCATTCCTACTGCCTTTCAGTTCTAAGTAAAGCCATTACAGAGATGATAATGCAGAGAAAGTAACTGAAAGCTATAAACGAGGGGAGGAAATTGCCAGGATTATTAAACGAGAAACGAAATCTGTGAAGCAGAAAGATTGCAGGAAGGCTGTTCCAGGTAGCCCAAGGTGCAAACCAATGTCTTTTCCACCACCAGTGCCAAATTGTGTGTTGGGAAGAAGAAGCAGCAGCTGGAAGAAGATCAGAGATTCATCTGTTTAATCTGTCCCTTCTTACCTGTCCATGTGTTCTTCCATTAGAGGTGTATGTAAATCCCAAATTATACTGTTCAGTCAAATTAACATCCAAGAACTCATTTCTGAAGGGAACTGGATTCAGAATTCATCCTGCCATTTTTGGCTGGTCGTCGTCATCCCTCCAAATCACTGAGCCAGCAAATCGATTCTTTCCTCCATGCAATCAACTGAGAAAAATGTGTCCCTAATTTTTAAAAAAAAATATTTTGGTTTGCCCTTTCTAGAAAAGGGACTAAAATGCTTAGAATCTTCCTGCCATTTTCTTCCACCCATGAGCAAGCCAGTGACGGTGCTCTGAATGGAGCAGGGTAGTTATCCTGAGGACTTTGTTTTGTGCCTCAATTTGCTTAACCAGTTCCGGGAACAGCAAATTGATTTGTAAAGAGAATCAGTAGAGTAGAGGATCCTCACCTATTTCCAACAAGCACTGCCTTCTGGTTCTGGTGTGTCTCATTCCACACACCTCACTTTTCTCTGGATTAGCAACTGCGGAGAAGGCAAACTGTTGCTCTCTAAAGGGATGAATCTAAGTCACCAGTTGCCACTTCCTACGATACTGACAACCTCTCAATTGTGAGAGCTCTCTGGAGGCCTAGGACAATATCCCATTCTCTCAATAAACTCTTATGATATTCACAGAATGCCCAACTAAGCAGCAAAGCAAAAGGTATTTTCACATAAATGTATAGGCAGCCAACAGTGGCTAGAATGTAAATTCAGTTGAGGAAATCATTTCTTCTTTATTTTACCCATGCATACAAATTAGTGTGAAAAGCTGGAGGTTGTTCACAGCATGGACATCAACATTTGCACTTGCTAATGCTTGCAGATCAAACTGCTATTCAAGGCACAGGAATAGGAGCAGGTTATAATTTTTAAAAATGGCAGCTTCCGATGGTTTTTTGTCATATCACAAGCTATGTAGCTTAACAGCTCCCATGCCATAGGGCTCTTCTTGAAAATGAACCTTTTTATTTTATTTTTCAGAAACCGAGTTTACAGGCTTTGGCATTCCTTATCCTTCATTCCCTCAAAAGTTCACTGATTCTTACATCCAGCGATTTCCCTTTCAGTTCTGGAAATGAGTGAACAAAGTAAATCATTTTTTTGGAGCAGAAATAAGAAAGTGACAAAGAAGAAGGGGGGGACCTTGTTCTCACTCAGTCGACTGGAATTGTGTAAATAGCTTCAACTCCACGTTTATTGGCTGGCAGAGCTGAAGGAAAATTTTCTTGTATGTGGCAGATAACTCAGGTGGGTGCGGTGGAAGCAGGGGGGGTGAGTTCTTTGTTCCTTCTTTTGAAACGGGGAGGGGGAAACAAAAATGTGCAGGCCTACCACATTTTCTGCCGCACCTGGAATCTTTCCATTCAACAGTAATTAGTGAGATACGGTATCTTGATAGCCCTTCAGGTGTTTGATTCTCACTCTTTTTATTCCCACACCAGCTGCTTTCAGTAATGAGAAGAGTTCTAGTCAGCTCTTCGCTCTTTTTTCTCCTCCTCCTTTTTTTTTTTTTTTTGCCTCCTTTCATTTCAAATGCTAGCAAATTCTCCATTGAGTGGCATTACAGCACATTTTTTATACACCTAGGCCAGGCCAAAATTAGCACTGTGGTGAGGAAGAGGGAAGAGGAGGAAGCAATATTATGCATCTGATTAATGCACGCAAATTCACAAATTTTGGAATTTATGGGGGAATTTGCCAAGCTGTAAACTTCCAAAGTAGTGTCCAAGTTTCATCTGGTCAGCCACCATATAAGGAAATCTGCACAGTGCTTTGGTTTCCCAAGTACTAACGCCAAATTTGGTAGTACTGCCTGCAGCGAGGAACAGACTGAACATGATGGCTTTGATAAATCTTATTTTGTAAGCAACAATACATCAATTACCATTTACGGTTCAGAACTGAAAGCTTTGTGAACTGCTCAGGTGCACAAGTCTGGGGATGTTTTTTGTTTTGTTTTTCCTTCACTGAGATTATTGGAGGGTTTATGACTTCCCATTAACATTTAGCATGAGTTAGTTCAAAGGGGACAGAATCTATACTGTATATTTGATAGAGACAGAATAGACTTTTCAAAAGGGAAGTCCTGGGTGACTGCTTTGTTCACTGATGCTGTAAAAAAAGGAGGCCATAACTTAGAACCAGCTCTGGCTTGGCATTAAGAGGAGAAATATAATTGCTCCTCTTTTCAGATTGCATGTTGTGTCTCTTGATCTATCACTCCTTCACTTGCCACCAAGCAGGAATCAAACATCCGTCTGGCGGTTTCTGCTTTTATCACATAAACTGCAACCACGAGACAGCTCCATTTTGTACATGTCCCATGGGCAACACTTAAGTTAGACACAACCTGCTTCAGTTAAAGTAAGTCATCAGTATCATAATAAATCTAGGTCTTCTTTTCTGTAACATCTAGATGAGGAATGGCTATGCAATCCCTGGATTTAGTGGTGGACTGGATGAGGGACAATACAACTGACTCTGAATCCTGGGAAGATGTAGGCATTGTGAGTGAATGGTTCCTTACTCCGGATAATTGATTAATTGCTTACTTGGATGGACTTTACTTCCTCTGAAGGAGCAGGTTCATAATCTAGGGGTGCCCCTGGGTCCATCTCTATCACTAGGGGCCCACGAAACCTCAGTCATACCTCGGAAGTCGAAAGCCTTGCAAGACGAACGTTTTGGCTCCCGAATGCCACAAACCCAAAAGTGATTGTTTCTGTTTGCAAACATTCTTTGGAACCCGAACGTCCACCGTGGCTTCCATGGCTTCTGATTGGCTGCAGGAGCTTCCTGCAGCCAATCGGAAGCCATGCCTTGGTTCCCAAATGTTTTGGAAGTCGGGCGGACGTCCAGAATGGATTCTGTTCAACTTCCAAGGTACAACTGTAGCTAGAATTGCCTATGACCGGTTTCATCTGGTAAAACATCTTTGGGTGTTTCTGGACCAGGATAGCCTTACTACTGGATTATTGCAGTGTGTTATACGGGGCCCTGCTCTTGAGCTTGACCCAAAAACATGCAGCTAGTGCAAAATGCAGTGGCTCAACTGCTCTCTAGGGTTCAAACTCACTCACCGGGCCCAACTAAGTCCTGAAAGGTGGGGTGGGATTAGGATCGTCGCCAATGGAATCTATTTTAATTGTGTCATAGCTCTGATTCAGAAACAACTCAGCATGAAAAAGTGGAGCCCCATTATAAATAAGTAGGAATAGATTATTTGTGGAACGTGCCCAAAGATTGTAGAAAACTGGCTTGAATCACACCCCATATTTTGCTTATTGTCATGTTTTTTTCTTTGCTTGGGAACAGCAAGAAAAATTGTAATAATTAGGGCTAAGTGAGGACACAGCCCCAAGAGAAAATGTCAATTACCAAGTAATTACAATCATCCACACTCAATATACTCAAATAAATAGTCATTGATTCCTGTGCTTACTTGCCATGTTTGTCACTGGTAGCATATGAGCTTTCAGGTTTGTGAATTTCTAATTGTTTAGACTGAGTTTTATGTGAATGGCTTTGGAGAGAATTGACACAAGGTGCCTTTTGGACCTTGATCACTAGGGGTCCAAGCCATGGAGTTTAACATATGAGTCTTTCACCGTAGGAAATTAAGTCATAAAACTTGCTCTTAATAATGCTGCTAGCACAGTGTCTTGGCTGGCAATGTGGAAAGGGGCATGACCCAACCAACCAAGGTGTTGAACTCTGGCAAGCAAATGGGCGGTCCTCAGGGACGGGCAGTTTGAGAGCAGGTATATACCTGAGCATTAAACTGTTCAGCCTGAGAAGGAGTTGAGGTAGAATCAAAAGCTGTATAGCAGGAGTTGAAATCATACTAATTCCTTGAATCAGTACTACTGAGTTGAATGCTGCAATATGTCCCACTGGCCATCTGGAGAATTGGCACTGCGGTGCAGCAAAGAGCAAGCCAGGAGCTCCCTGTTCTAGCAAGTTACTATGGTAGCATAACTGTAAGGCATTTAAGGCCTTCTGCCATTTGATAACAACCTGTTCAAACCCCCTAATTTGAAGGTCCGTGGAGAAATGCTTGCTCAATATTGTTTTGACTTCTGGAAGCCGTATTTTTCACTCTATAGGACGCACTTTTTCCCCTCCAAAAATTAAGGGGAAATGTGTGTGCGTCCTATGGAGCGAATGCAGGTTCCTTGGCTTCAGCAATAGCAACGCGAAGCCTACAAAGCGCAGAGGAAGCACTCCCTCCGCGCTCCAGAGGCTTTGCATTGCTTTCACTGAAGCCTGGAGAGCGAGAGGGGTCGGTGCAGGGATAGCCGCCTGAAGCCTTCAGAGCGCAGCGCGAGTTCCCACTGCGCTCCGCAGGCTTCAGGTTCCTTTTGCTGAAGCCGGGACAGCCTTGCTCTCCCGGCTCCAGCAAAAGGAACCCGAAGCTTTCAGAGTGCAGAGCGAGTTCCTGCTGCGCTCCACAGGCTTCGGGTTCCTTTTGCTGAAGCCGGGAAAGCAAGACTCTCCTGGTTTCAGCAGAGAGGGAGAGCTGCGCATCCAAGCGGGAGGAGAAATGGAAGGGGCTCCATTTCTCCTGTCGCTTCGCTGAAGGGGCGCTGAGCAGAGAGGGGGAGATTTTTTTCCCTTGTTCTCCCCCTCTAAAACAAGGTGCGTCCTATGGTCCGATGTGTCCTATAGAGCGAAAAATACGGTAATGTCCTTTCCTGGATGCCAGTCTGTGATAGACATGTGGTTATAGTCTCCAACCGTTCTGAGCACTACCTTGGATCATATTTATGAATGCACACATCATAGTCCTGTTCTGGCAGGAGATTGCAACCTGAGTATCAGTATAAAGGCTTGCATGTTGGCCCTATCTCCAAATTCCCTATTTCTGCTCACTCCACCCATGCACATACTTAGCCTGTTCCTGCAGGATAGATCATGAGCCTCTTAATCTCAGGATCATGGTTTTGTGCTCCATGTTAGGCAAAAAGGTTTCTGCATTGCAAAGGGGTGGACTAGTTAAGCCTTGTAAGTAAGTAAGTAGGTAAGTAATTTTTTATTTATACCCTGCCCTCCCCGACCAAGACCAGGCTCAGGGTGGCTAACATCAAATATCAAATACATTAAAACACAATCAAACAACTGATTAAAATACAGCTTAAAAAATAGAATCAGGATAAAATTAAATGACGGCCCACGAATTACAACCATAGGGGTCGGGAACTTCAAGTAGTCATTAGGGCTAGCTATCCATCTTGGTCCCACATGAGCTGATAAAAGGGCCAAAGAGGTAACTTACAGGGTCCCATAGAAAGGGGTAAAACTGGGCCTAGACCGAAAGCCAGGTGGAACAGCTCCATTTCAGGCCCTGCGGAAAGATGTCAAGTGCCGCAGGGCCCTAGTCTCCTGTGATAGAGCGTTCCACCAGGCTGGGGCCGAAGCCAAAAAGGCCTTGGCCCTGGTTGAGGTCCCTTTGAACTGTACAGTGGTACCGCTGGTTATGAACTTAATTCATTCCGGAGGTCCGGTCTTAACCTGAAGTACTACTTTAGCTAATGGGGCCTCCTGCTGCCACCGCACAATTTCTGTTCTCCTCCTGAGGTAAAGTTATTAACCCGAGGTACTACTTCTGGGTTAGCGGAGTCTGTAACCCAAAGTGTTTGTAACCTGAGGTTATTGCAACTCAAGGTACCACTGTACAATCCTGTGACTCTAGGAAAATCAGGAAACCTCACAGCCACAAGGAGACTTCAAAGCACATTCAACTAAATTCACTTACAGTGCAATCCAAACCCAAGATCTGCCAGGTTTTGAGAGTCTGGATTCAGCTGATCTTGGTCTTTTAGAGCCAGGAGAGCCAGTGTGGTGTAGTGGTTAAGAGCGGTGGACTCGTAATCTGGTGAACTGGGTTCGCGTCTCTGTGCCTCCATATGCAGCTGCTGGGTGACCTTGGGCTAGTCACACTTCTTTGAAGTCTCTCAGCCCCACTCACTTCACAGAGTGTTTGTTATGGGGGAGGAAGGGAAAGGAGATTGTTAGCCGCTTTGAGACTCCTTCAGGTAGTGATAAAGCGGGATATCAAATCCAAACTCCTCTTCTTCTTTTAAGTTGTTATTTTTATAATATCCTCTGAAGGTCCCTACAGAGGCCCAAGTCCCATTTGAATCCTTATCAACAACTCCAGCACTGGGAATATTGAGAAAAAGGAAAGCATTAAAAAAAATCAATTTGGGGCAGTTTCAGGATAGCCAAAAGGAAAATGGGAGGTATGTTGTTCAGCATTTTCAGAACTAAACTAATTAAGGACCTCCACCCCCTTTAAGGGGGAATCCTGCCAATGTGAAAGGGTATAGCAATTGATTGACCTCAGTTGTGTACTCCAGCTCCACAGAAGAAGCAATTTATTTGAAGCAGGCCTGAACAATTTTGTGACCCGCCAAGCCAAACCCAGCCCACTAACCTTGGGTTGTGATCTGCTCCAGGGCATCAACAAATCTCTTCATTTTACTGCCTGTCAAAGAAAGATGGTGAAATATGGAGTGAAACTTGTTAAACACCTGCCAGGCCATAATGCATGTCTGATGGGTTGCATCCAGTTTGGTAGGTCACAAGTTTGGAACAATCAGGACACTGACACCATCGCTCAAGCGCCCCTGTGATTTGTAGGTCTGCTGGAGGTGAGCAAGCTGGTGTTTAAATTCTTCAACTTCTAAGCATCCACAGATAATTTCAGAAATGCTTTTGTGCCCGTTAACTATTTGTGCAGTCTGTTAAGGACTTCATAAATGTGCAATGCTGTGCCAGATCTTAATGCATGAACCAGAAAACAAATGGGATGGTGACAGTTTCACATGCTCTCCATCTTTCCCCAGTGTGATACAGTCAGCAGCGCCCAGAGGGGAGGTCAACAGCTTTCTTCCTGCGAAATACACAAGAGGTTCTGCTTTGACAGTTCAAAGGAAGGGTGTCCCTAGTGAGCGTGTGTTTTGCCTTGACTGACAGAATTGCTACACAGACTTACTGACAGAACAGCTGCTAACATGCTTGTCCAGGTTTGGGGGGGAGGGGAGAGAATCCACATAGCTGATGGGATTGATGGCCAGAATCCAAAAAAAGTCACAGGGGTTTTGCAGGCCCTGTGCAGCTTTGCGTTTCTCAAACAGCAGCCCAGCCATGCCACATAACAAAGCCGTTTTTAAAACTGAAGGGAGTTACTGCAGCCATTTCATTTATTCATAGAATCGTAGAATTGTAGAGTTGGAAGGGACCCCAAGGGTCATCTAGTCCAACCCCCTGCAATGCAGGAATCTTAGCTAAATATCCATGACAAATGGCCACCCAACCTCTGCTTAAAAACCTCTGAGGAAGGAGAACCCACCACCTGCCAGGGAGAAAATTCCACTATTGAACAGCTCTTACTGCCAGAAAGTTCTAGATTCAGGTAGGTAGCCGTGTTGGTCTGATGCAGTCAAAAAATAAAAATAAAAAAATTGTCCAGTAGCACCTTAGAGACCAACTAAGTTTGTGCTGGGTATAAGCTTTCATGTGCATGCACGCTTCTTCAGATACACTGAAACAGAAGTCACCAGACCCTTATATATGGTGGGAGGGTGGGGTGGGGTTTTTCTCAGGAGTGTAGTAGGAGATGGGTGATTGATTCAATGGCTATGGTAAACCTGTTGATGACTGTTAACAACTGCAATTAGTCCTATAGGAAAAAGCAAGGGATAGTATGCAGATGACCAAAAACAGCTTTAGCATATGTAATGTCACATACACCCAGACAACACCATCACTGGACCCACAACATCAAACATACCATCTCAGGCCTATTTAATTGCTCATCTTCTAACATTGTGTATGCCATCAAATGCCAGCAGTGCCCCTTAGCTCTCTGTATTGGGCAAACAGGCCAAACCCTAAGCCAAAGGATAAATGGACATAAATCTGACATCAGGAATCACAAGACAGAGAAGCCAGTAGGAGAACACTTCAATCTCCCAGGACATTCAATACAGGATCTGAAAGCCTATCTTATTACAAAAGAATTTCAGAAATAGACTTGAAAGAGAAGTTGCTGAATTACAACTTATTACTAAACTGAAAACTATGGAGAGACCTGGTCTGAATAGAGATATTGGATTCTTGTCCCATTACATATGCTAAAGCTATTTTTGGTCATCTGCATACTATCCCTTGCTTTTTCCTGTAGGACTAATTGCAGTCGTTAACAGTCATCAACAGGTTTACCAAACCCATTGAATCAATCACCCATCTCCTACTGCGCTTCTGAGAAAAATCCCACCCCACAATCCCACTATATAAAAGGGTCTGGTGACTTCTGTTTCAGTGTATCTGAAGAAGTGTGCATGCACACGAAAGCTTATACCCAGAACAAACTTAGTTGGTCTCTAAGGTGCTACTAAACAATTTTTTTGGTCTCTAAGGTGCTACTAAACAATTTATTTATTAAGTTCTTCCTGATGTTTAGTTGGAATCTCCTTTCTTGTAACTTGAGGCAGTGGCGTAGCGTGGAGGGTGCAGGGGGGACCGGCCGCACCGGGCGCAACATCTGGGGGGGGCGCGCTCGCACTCGCAGCTCTCTGCCCCCTGCTAAAATCCACGAGTTAGGGGGTGCAAATTACTTGCCTTGCCCCGGGTGCTGACAACCCACGCTACACCACTGACTCGAGGCCATTGGTTCAAGTCCTACTCTCCAGAGCAGGAGAAAACAAGCTTTCTCCCTCTCCCGTGTGACATCCCTTGAGATAGTTGAAGATGGCTATTCTAGCTCCTCTCAATCTCCCCTTTTCCAGGCTAAACATGCCCAGCTCTTTCAGCTGCTCCTCATAAGGATTTCAGGGAGAGAATGTGTCTGGGTAGGCTAGGAGAGACCCTTGTCTGAAATGCTGAATAGTCATTGCCAATCAATGTGGACAATATTACTGGACCCCTGATCTGGCTCACTATAAGGCAGTTTCCTACGTTCTTATGTACTGCTTCATTTTCTTTTCCCCCAGCCAACCAAAATCAACCATGCATGGGTATGTGGCACTGTTTCACATATATATCTTCTAGGAGTCGCTGCTTCCCTGTAATAGTCTTGCTAAATGTTCATAAGCAGAATGACTTTCGTAAGTGCTAAAATGCCTGCCTTAGCATTAGAGGTGATTTATTGCTTTTAATTTGCTTCAACTTCAAATGCCCTAAACTAAAATTGCCCTCCGTGGTAGAACTTAGCCTTTATTTTTAACGGTTTGGCAAATCATAGCATCTATAAACGTTAATGTACACCCTTCCTACTAGCCTGTAACACAGGCAAACCAACAGAGCATACCTCTTAATGTACACATATTTCCCTGCAGATCTATTAAAGGGGAGAAAAAAGCTTTCCTGAAAATAAGTAATTCAGAATTGCAAATACACACACGCACACTATAACAGGATAGGG